GAGCCCACTCTCTTAACCATTATGCTCTAACACTACAGGTGTGAGCCCCAAGGGTCCCCTTCACAAATCAGGGGCTTACTCAGTCTAGTTTCTCACTCTCAATGATTCTTTTCTTGGGGCGGAAAGAGATTCAGAATCTTCTGTCTTTCCTCTTTGACCTCCTGTCCTGTAGTCCCCAGATGCCTGGCTCCAAGGCTCCTGCACTGATCACTTGGTCCCAGGGCAGCGTGGCCCCATCTCAGCCTGGCCCTAGAGTCTCTCACTGAGTCACAGGGCTCTGGTCTAGACAGCCAGGGTAGATGAGCAGAGGACGGATAGATGAGTAATGGAACCCCTGAGCCCCTCGCTGTCCAATCTTGGAGGCCTGGGACATCCCCACATGCTGCCTTCCTGGCAGCTCCCACCCACCGGAGCCCTGACTGTCCCTGCGACTTTGTTCAGCATTTCCTCTGTCTGCAGGCTCCGTGTCACAGGAATAGGCAGGCTCAAGGCAGCAGGAGTTCAGGGTCATGCAGCCTTTCTGGCTTATCTGGGCAGGTAGGTAAGCTGTGGTTCTCATCTGGGGACATGGGAATGTCTGGAGACATTTGTGGAACCTAGTGGGTAGAGGTCAGAGATTCTACAATGCATAGGACAGCCCTCAACAACAAGAATTCTCCAGCCCAGAATGTCAAATAGAGCTGCAGTTCAGAAACTCTGCTCTAGAGGCAGGCTGCCTGGTCTGAATCCCGGCTGTGGCCGGCATCCGATCTGTGGGACCCTGGCAGGGGACATAACCTCTGTGAGCATCCTTTTCTATACAATGGGAACAGTGATGGGAAAGGTGCTGGGAATGTGCACCTCCAGCTCTCCCCACCCTCTCCATTCCCTGGGGCCCAGTTCAACCAGATAATGAGCAGAGGCCATAGAAAGCCCTGACTAAACAGGACAGCCACACATGCCGCCCCTCCCTGGGGCTGCTCATGGAGCCTTCTGCCCTGGGCATCAGCCCCCAGTGGTTCCTGGGAGTGGACAGGGGAGGGATGGGGGGATGACATCCGGTCTCAGTTTGAGTTCCTTCAAAAGCCGACCCGAGGCAAGGACTGAAGGGCAAGTGGTTCCTTTGGAAGGAAACACCATGGGAGGAGGGGACAGCAAGTCAGGGAACTGGGGCAGCTAATAAAGAACGAATGCGGGCCGGCCGAGTGACTCAGTTGGTTAAGAGCTTGCTCAAGAGTTTGAGCTCTAAGCAACAGCGGCGAGTCCTGGCCCGAGCTGAGCAGCCGCTGAGCTGCCAACAGGTGGCAGGATGGCTCAGCTAAAAAAAAAAAAAGAACAAATGCTCCATCAAGCTAGTGACCACGGTGGACACCTGGAGCGCAATCCCACTGAGAGCCTTACTTATCCCCCCAGGGGAGGGGGAGCTAGGCTAGTTCCCTACTACTCCACCAGTCATTTGGCGGAGGGCTGCTGGGGGTGGGAAGAGGGTTTTCTCTCCAGGCAGGTTCAGCAGGCCTTGCCACGTACAGCCCAGAGCAGGCGCTGGTGACAGTGAACACCCTTGGGCAACTGGAAGTAAGGCCTGAGGGTATATGGGCAGAGCTGTGCCCTGTGACCATCATCTGAGCACATCTTCCACACCAGGCCTGGGTTTGGCCCTTTATGTGCCTTCTGTCATCCACTCCAACTAGAGCGTACGGTCCGTGCAGGCAGGAATTTTTGTCTGCTTTGTTCACACTGTATCCTGTGCCTAGCACAATGCCTGCTCTATTGTAGGAGCTCAATAAATCACTGCTGAGTGATTAAATGAATGCCAACACCCTGAGGACTGAGTGTGACTATGCTAACGAAGAGGTTACTGGAGCCTTAGAGAGAGTTGGGGTTTACGTACGGTCTCAAAGGCTACGACATCTGAGCTCAGGTTCAAACCCAGCTCTGCCTGATCTCAACGCCATGCATTGGTGCACACGTGCATGCATGGACACTCATGACGATAACCCCTCATATGCATCCACCTTTGTCTTCACCAAGCACACCCACTTTCATTACTTTGTCTGACAGCTGAATGCAGTGGTAACGAGTGAAGCCTGGAGGCCACAGCACCTGCGTTCAAAGCCTAGCTTGTGTGCTGACTAGCTGTGTGAACTTGGGCAGTTTACTTNTCTCAGCCCTCTCTCTACCCCCGTGTCCACTCAGGACCTGAGGGGCAGCAGCCAGGCATGCCGAGATGGGGGAGCTCACCGTAGCTGTCCGACTCCTTGGTGGCCCAGTCCCCAGGGAGCAGCCAGCCCTGCTCCCAGCCGCCTGTGGCCCCACTGAACCCAGGCTCCTCGTCGTCATCTTCCTCATCACTGCCGGCCTGGTCCTCGCTCTCGCTGTACTCCGAAGGGTAGTCTTCTTCTTCCTCCTCCTCCTCCTCCTCCTCCTCCTCCTCCTCCGCCCCTGGGGCTCTGCCCTTGAGGCTGGTTCCCATCTCGTCCCCCTCCAGGTAGCCCCAGAAAAGGGGCCAGAAGAGCTCCTTGGTGGGCAGCCAGCTGGGGGCACCCTGGGGCCAGCGACTGCTGGGCTCAGCCAACAGGTCCATCTCCACCTCTGCCTGGGGGTCCTCCACCACCTCGATGGTCACCTGCAGGGAGACAGACACCAGGCCAGCCAGTGAGGGAGGGCTCAGGGCTGGACCACAAGGAGAAGGAAGATGCCGCGGGCAGGGGCAGGGGGGAAAGACCCACCCAACCTCCCCTCCAAACCAGCCCAGTCTCTTGGCCTTCCAGGGCACATGGGGTCACAACTCAAGACCTGGCTGCGCATCACCATCCCCTGGAGGTTCCTGACTCCCCGTCCTCTCCTCAGCCACGGCTTTAACTGGGCTTAGGTGGGACCAGTTATGGTGGCTCTGACATATGCCAGAGTGGAGACCCACTAGTGTAAGAAAAGCTGGCTTTGAACTCTGGCTCCACCAGCCTGTAGGCTGCCCAGGCTCAGGGGCCACGAACAGCCCTGAGCCTCCACTTCCTCACCGCAGGGCCAGAAGATGAGAGCAGAGCCAGCAAACCCCACAGCCGCCAGCTAGGGGATGGTGGCTGTGCTGCTGCTGGCTGGTGCTTTCTTATATCACATTGTGGGCGGGGCGGACGGGAAATAAGTCACATGAAATCATTTTTTGTGAAAGTGAATTGAAAAACATCATTTGGGGTTATTATAAAGGATTATGAAGTCACTGAACAAAATTTCGGTAGGAAACAGCAAACTATAAAGAAGCAATGAACATTGCCCATATTCCGTCACTGACAGATACCATTTAGGTGATTAACCTTCCAGGTTTTATAGATACACATGCACATACATATAGACACATCAACTTCTAAACAATTTTAGTTACATTCTACACTTTTCTCTTTTGGTGCGTTTCGTAAACTGTAGCTGCTATACAAAAAGTGCAGAGTTATTACCATTAGGGATTCAGGACTGGCAGTGGAATATATAAACTGGAATTCCACTGGCTCCTCTAGGTTCCTCTCCCATAAGCCCCTCTGGTGGGCAGTACACCCCACGCCGCCCTCAGTACTCAGCCGTTTCCTCAGGGGCCTGAAGTAAGGGGCTGGGCCTGGGCAGGGATCAGACCCTTAAGCTTTTCCACAAGGCCTCCCCCATGTTCCTGGGATCCCCTGAGCTCAAGAAGCATTCTGTGCTCACTTGGTCCTCATGACAGGCCTGCCAGGTTGGTGCTGTTTGTCCCTTGCTATGGACTAGGAGCCACGTGAGTTGCTCACGGTCTGCAGCTTGAAAGTGGAGGAGCAGGTCCTCCCCCCACTATTCCACAGGGATGGCAGGTCCCACACAGGACCCCCGACCTCCAAGGAATACAGGCTGGGATGCCAGACCTCAGAGCTGAGCCACTCAGCCCAGCTCCTCTCCAGGTGCCTGCTGGGCCCACGCCCTTCTGGAACTCTCACCTGGATATTGGGGTTCGGGGAACTCAAGTCTGTGTTGGCCAACCTTGGCAGCTTCTGCAGCTCCAGTAGCAAGGGGGTGTCCTCCTGGGTCCCAGGAGGGGTTGTCTTTTCCGGGGTCAGAGTGGCTGGCTCAGTGAGAGCCCAGCGCCTGTGCCGGTGTGGCCCTGCTTGAAGGAGGGTTCTGGGGAGCAGTGGCATGTCCTCCTCTCCCCTAAGAGGGCTGAGGTCTGGGGAGGCTGAGACCTAAGGGAGAGAGAGGGGGAAAGAGGGGTGACTGAGGTCAGGGCTTGCGCCATTTGGACCCAAAAAAGGCTGGTCAAGGAGGATTCAGGAGCCCTGAGGTCTGACTGGATTACAAACTCACCCTCTGACTGTATATCCAAACATGGCTGCTCTAACGCCCAAGAGGGTAAGTGAGGCTGTGTCCATACAGCATTTGAACAAATGGTGCCAACATAAGGCATGAGAGGATGTTTAAAATCATGTTTCTACACATGGAAGAAACACAGTCCAACCTCATTTTACTGATGAAGAAACTGAGGCCCAGGGAGGGAAGCCAGTTGGTTGAAGCAGTGGTGCCCAAGTACACTTTGCAGGCCACTTGTCTCGGAATCCCCCAGAGCTGTTGTCAGAGTACAGATGGCAGGAAATCTGGGCAGGAAGCCCCAGGAAGACCCACAGGGCGGTGGGCAGCAGGCCTCGGCCCTTCCCCTCAGCACGCTCCCCTGCTACTTGGCCTTTGCAAG